ATGTCAAAACCTTAGGGGCGAGGGTCAGTTTCTCACGCAAAGTCTTGATTTACAAATTACTTTTCAAATGGATGTTAGCAAAATCTTTAAGGTTACTTAGAAAGATATTTGATCATATATGTGATAATTTCTGAAATGTCTTCACCTTTTTTTTTTCTCTCCAGTCCTTCAGGGGAAACAAAAGGTTCTCAAAAATCTTGGTAAAAGACACTCCATTTACTCTTTTGTCTACAGAAACTTGAGGACCACCACCCATCAACATGCTTCGCTCTATAAAAGATTTTACCTCTCTAAGCACTCTATTCATAAGAGAAAAAACAATCAGACTTAAATTGTATTTTTAAAGGTACAGTTGATCCTTGAACAACACAGGGATCAGGGACACTGACCTCTGCATGGTTAAAAAAAAAATCCACGTATAACTTTTGACTCCGCAAAGACTTAAATGATTACTCAGTATCATGGGGGGATTGGTTCCAGGATCCCGCCCCCCTGCCAGATATCAAAATCCACGGTTGCTCAAGTCTCGTATATAAAATGGCGAAGACAAATGCATACAGTCGGCCCTCTGTATCTGTGGACTCCCGAGGGAAGACTGAAAATAGTTCGGGTATTTATTGAAAAAAGATCTATGTATAAGTGGACCCCGCAGTTCAAACCTGTGTTTTTCTAGGGTCAACTGTACCATTTTTAGATTACTGCCTATGCATAGAATGTGTATCACATTAACATTAGAAATGGTGCATAAAATAATGTTTATTTAAATGTATTTTCGTCAAACTTTAAAACCAAAATCTCTATTTCCACTTAAAACATTTCCAGTTTAGCACTTTCAGCAAACAAATAATTATCTTATTTAAGTGGTCCATTAGTTTGATACTTATTAAATTAGTTCCAATACACTGGTATCGTATAAGAGGAATTTTACCAATTTAAATCTTACATTTTTTTAATGTTTCACTCAAAAATCTAGACTTGGTTGAAAAAAAAAGAAACTCAGTATTTTCCTTCTCCAAAAATTAAATATGGGAATGGTAGCTTAGGATTTCAAAAACCAGATATGACTACAGAACCTATATGGTAGTATTAGACTATATATTTATTGAGGTGGTTTGTACAAATCATGGCCTATCTGACCAATTTCTTGTTGCATAAAGATTATATTTGCTCTTAAAAATGTTAACTAAGCATTTTTAAAGACTGAAGGTAAAGACTATATTGGAACCTTATGTAACCAAAATGGGAAGGCACGTATGGCCTCACCACATTAAAGGCCTATGCCTTCTTAATATGTATTCTTCTTAAGCACATAAGAGCATGGGTTTCCAAAGGCAATGCTACCATCCCAGAAGCCCTTGCTTCTTCAGTGTAAAGAATGGGGTGGGTTCTGTTCCCAGAGAAGACAAGTTTAGGAGGGAAAGGCTTTGCAAAATTTCAAGGGGCCCATAATTCAAACTTACACTATTCTGCAAATGTTCACGGTTCGAAGGAACAACATAAAACTTACATTAAAACTGTC